CTGAAGATTTCAGACAACAAAATACGTGATAAGATATAATAATATAATAAGAAAAATTTACTCATCAACTTCATTTTCTTAAAAGTTGTTATAAATAATATATAATGCTTTTAGTGCAAATCATTTTTACAGAACAAATTAATATTACATCTGTAATCTACAATCAAAAAAAGGAATTTTTTGCCACGTTCTGTTTGAGTTATAAGCATTTTATCAACCAGATTTTCCCTATGTTGCAATAGAAATAATTAAAAATTTTTCTCATTTGATTCATTTTAATATATTCATTTCTTTTTTAAACAATATATTTATTTTTTTTTAAATAAAATCTGGAAATTTTGAGCACACAGCAATCAATAATTCAATAATAAAGAATTATAAAATGTGTGAATATTGAAGACCAAAGAACCAGCAATAATTATTTAGACTGTTTAAGATTTTATATTATAAGTAAATTTTATAAGTAAATTTGAACTCTTATCGCGAATTTAACAATGAATATAGTTTTAATTATATAACGACATAAAGATTATGCGTTTCGCGGGTTTTCTCCATGTTCAGATCCATTCTTGGAATGCCAATGTTTCGTGAACCTTGCAGTCCACTTCGTCAGGAGCAGCCTGATACTACAGTATCACGAAACGTTGGCATTCCAAGAATGGATCTGTAATCTTTACATAGAAAGCACCCATGGAAGTCTCAAGAATATTATACAACGATGTTTGAAAGAACAGTGACAGTTTAGGGCCAAAATTTGCCTATAATAAAAACGTAAAATCGGTCTTTATAGATTTGTATGTGCTGAACTCAAATATGAAATTTAAAATTCCAAAGTCTGAGGAACTTTGTGAAAATGCAATTTTTCTTCTTTGCAGAAGAATTATATTTTCACAAAGTTCCCCAGATTTTGGAGAATTGTAGCTTTACTTTGCAGCACAATATTATATTACTCGATAAACAATAGTAACTGAACAAGAAACCTTTTTTTCTATTATAATGACCTTAAAAACTGCAACTTTTTTGCAAAGAGTCAATGCTTCACGGTGTATAATAACATAAACAAAACAAAGATGAATGTCCGTATCTACATGTGTGAGTATGCATGCGTTTCTACTGTTCCACCAGCATTAGCTTTATCCAAGATACATCGTGGTGATTACTGAATCTTAAGGTAAGGGACCTTCCGATCTTAATGAGCTTTTATGTATTATTCTCCAGACAAAAATAAGCGATACGTTTTTTTATACGTGCCCTTTTTCATTTTTAAGGGATAAAATACTCCTTCGAATAAAATCGATTTTTCTCTTTCGAAACGATATTGTCGAAATTGTATAAATGGATAAAAATGTTTGAGATGAAAGTTGCATAGTCTCAAATGTACTTTATAAAACGAGAAAAAAATTTTTTAATTTTTTTTTTATTTAATTATATAGCATAATAAAAAAATAAACAAATTTTTTTCTTTTTTTTAGGGCAAATTTTGGCCCTAAACTGTCACCGTTCTTTTTATTCGAACTCTTTATTATTCTCTTAATTTAATTATTTTATTAATTGACATGTTGAAGATAGTCAGATCGTAGTCAAAATATTTATGATCTTTATATGATTAACCTAAATATTTAAAATGTATGACATTTGTTAAAAATATTTTGTGTTATAGTTGTATGGTCCTTTTATTTATGTGTTTATATTTATATTTTTTAAGACACTTTTAAAATTTTAAAATAAATTTTTTAAATAAATATGCATATTAGAGGCGATTTTCCATTTTTTAATAACCTTGACATATGTTATCAAGGTTATGATTTTGAATTATATTCAACAAGTTTTAGAAAATGGATATAAGGCAATAAGAGTCAAGAAAATTCGGATCAAGTGGTAATTCTTGTGCAAACCAATACGATTAACAAAATAACTTTATCAATAATTAATCCGCAATGTTTTGATTCACTTTTGAGCCGTCTTCAGAGACAATATGATGTTGTAATTACAAAAAATTTTTTTACGAACTAATTCATTTTAGTGAGCCACCTCCATTAAACTATAATATAAAAACAAACCTTAATAACAATCTAAAATGTATTAAAATTATTAAAAGATAAATTTGTTGGAAGCAAAAATGATTTATTGTAAAATAATAGAAGGTAGCTCACATAAAACAAAAATTTACCATATCGCAAACACTTAAATTCTATTTAAGGTTTAATAAAAAAAACTATTCTTTCCATTCAGCCTCTCACCATTCAGTAAATCAGTGTCAATTATGTTGAAATTAATGAATAACTTTTAATATACTTACGTTAATTGCGAAGAAAAGAAAAAAAGGAAAAAACTCAGATATTATAATCCAGACGGACATTAAAATCAAAACTGAATCTTTAATAATTTAATATTAATGTAACGAAGAATGTACTGATTAGCTGGTAATAACAATGCTCCGATTTTAGTCCGTCTATAATTGGAAAGTGATACATTAAGATTATTAAATTATTAAAGATTCAGTTTTGATTTTAATGTTCATCTGGATAATTAATATCAGTTTTTTTCTCTTTTTTTTTCCTTTTCTTTGTGGTTTGTATTAAAAATTATTCATTAATTTCAATTCATAATTGATCACTGATTCATTGAATGGTCAAAGACTGTTTTTTGACTAAATTGATAGAATTTAAATGTTTGCGATATGGTGAATTTTTGTTTTAATGAGCTACCTTCTATTATTTTACGATAAATCGTTTTTGTTTTTCTCCCCTTCCCAACAAATTTACTTTTAATAATTTTAATACATTTTAGATTGTTATTAAAGTTCGTTTTTATACAATATTATAGTTTTCGTTGATAGGTTGAAATGGCACTAAAATGAATTAATTTGTAAAAAAATTTTTTGTAATTACATCATATTGTCTCTAAGAATGGCTCAAAAGTAAAAGCAGATTAATTATTAATAAATGAAAATAGAGATTATTATATTTATATTAACTGAGGTTATGTTAAGGTTAGATTTAAAACAATTATTCAAAATTATTAGTATACACCAATTAAAATTATATTTTCTTAAGAGCATAAATATGATTTATATTGTTGTTATTGAACGTCAATTAACTTACTATGCTTTATTTATGTCCTTTGTTTGTTCTTAATTGTTCTTATTAATAATGTTATAATGCAGTTTACTTAACTATCTAATGATTAGTACATACAATACATAAAATAATGTTGTGCGCTTTATGGACAATCGTTCATTTATTAGGATATTCACACATATATACCAATTATTGGCTATTCCTTTTTATTAATTTTAATAAATAATTTGATACTGTTTAATTAATTTTTTAATCGAAATTACTCATCAATGTATATTTTAAATATATATATTATTCAAATAATAAAAAATTAAAATTTAAAATAGTTATACAAGGTGATTTTAACATATTTCGTCACCTATCAAGTAGAGTGAATCGAACTGAGTCAAAAAGTCATCTACCATTTTGCAGTTTACGCAATAATGAGATATTAATTATTAAAAATTGCCAAATTGATCTTGAATAATTTTTTATTCATAAATTAATTAATAAAATATTTATTATCAACTTTATAGAAAAACTGTAAGAGACAAAAATAATTAATTTTCTTCTCATAGAATTCTAAAAACTTTTTCAGAATTTTTTATCAA